TTCTCCAACTTCAAGCTTCCGGTAATGGCTTGTGCAGTTGTCCTCTTGTTAGGTTGGGTGGGCTGGCCGCGTGCCTTTTTGTCCGATGATGGGATACTTGTGCTGCCGAGATTTGTATATGCGTGCGCAGCCTCCCTTGTCGGGGCACCCCTTTTCACCGTGGGCATGGCTATTTTATGTCGATATTTCATTTCCTGCCATGAAGGGCCAGTTTGGCAATGTTCCCGGTAGGTTACCAATTCCTGAAGCAGAAAAAAGGAGGAGTGCCCAGCAAACGTTTGCGAACCGTTTTTCTCTCTGCTTCTGTTGTTGAACCCGGTGGTGCCTACTGCGACAGGATCAGCCTTCGGTGCGGGGAGCAGAGGGAAGTATGGCAAAAGTGATTTTGCCAGTCACGGGCTGAGAGCACCTGCAGTTACCACTGGCACGAACATGTGTCCAAGCTCCTAATCACTGTGCTAGTAGAATCAAGGCCTGCTGAACAAGAAGAAGATGGGTGCGGGTGGGCTAGGAGGCCTGAAAGGTAAAAGGCCGGGCTTGAGAGGTGAAGAGCTGTCAGCCATTGACGAAACAGTAAGACTATGCAATGACAATGTATGCGGTTTGCACATGAGTCTCCAAAACCACCAAGACCTTTTTACCGACTATGTTATATGCATATATCATCCTGTGCCTATGCCTGGCGCATATACATGATGTATATAATGTGATTTGTGCAGTACCAGCAGCAACCATGATGGACTTTTGGCTGAGCAGCAGATGGTCATCCTGCCACTTGAAGGTAGATGCGGCTGCCCTTTCGCTCCAGGGAGAAGTGCTGAGATGCAACGCGGCCATGTGCGGCTTCGCCTGCAATATTTGTGCTGGGGCTCCACAGGTAAGGAGCTTGCAAACAGTTGGTCTGCAAATTGACAAGATCACTCAAACTCAAACATTCAAGTCCCACGACTCCTCCAGAAAGGCTGTCGTGGAACCACTCAAGTTGTAGACAGCAACAAGTAACCCCCTGAAACAACAGTCAGAAGGAAGCCAGAATATGTCTCAGTGTCCAGGACTGTTTGTCGCACATTTTCCAGGCGCACAAATGGAAACACGGACGATTTCATTTGCGTGCTTCCACCACAATTCAATTAAAAAAACATATTGTTTGCTTAAAAGGTCGTGGGCGTGCGGCGCTCAACGCCATTTGTTTTAGACACTCAGCGTGTCAATGGGAGAGGATCATCGCATCTGGGCAAATGCGGCACAAGACACATGCAGTGTTTTTGAAGCAGTCACTGACTTTAGAGTGTCAACTTTGGCAGAAACGATGTTCACCGCTGACTTTCAACACACCTTTTTTGGCTTTGACCTTTCTGCTTGGCTTTTTAGCTCCCGTTTCGGGCTCGTTCCCCTTTTTGTCGACGTTTCCATTTTCAAGGTCCGAGCTCACCTCCAAATACTCAAAATGATCTCTCCCAGGACCCTTTTCTTACTGTACTTTTGGGAACTCCCAAGCTGATGAGGCAGCGAAGAAAACTGCTGTTCGTTTTGCCAGAAGCTGCTTGAGTTGAGCCATGAAATCTCTGAAGCACTATCATTCCAATTGCATTATTGCAACTCTAGCAGCGCGAACCACAGTCCCGGATGATCAGCCCCCTCCTGTTGATGAGCCTAGGATGTCTGTTGTTGAGTTCCTAGCATTCGGGGTTCGTGGCAGGACCAGCGTGTGCTTACAGTAGGTTTCAACGATTGCAGGAGATGCCAAGCAGGGCAGCTGGGTCATCTGGAATCCGAGTTTGTCCGTGCTTGCTACGGCGGGGCAGAGACTGTGGCTACGTTCTCGCAAATTCAATCTCGATATCCAAAGATTGGGGAAGCTTTCGAACGGTGATACTCATTGGAGTATGCTGCAAAGTTGTGTTCAGTTCTGATCCTTCGGGCCCAAAAGTGACCTGGGCCTGGACCTCCCGGAGTGGCAGGTCAATAGGAACTTACACAAGTGCGCTTGCCAATTCAGCTCCCGCTTCAAACGATTGACTGTCCTTAAGGGAATCGAATCATGGCCCTTCGTCTCAGGCATGCTAACACGTCGAGCGACTACAATTAGAAGAATCTGTGACTTGTGTGGCTTTCAACCCTTCTTCTCCAGTGCGTTTTTGGTTTCTTCTTGCACATGCTGGTTTGGAGCCCTGGCACCGCTTCATGGAATTATATAGATAATGAAAACATTCGTAGGTGCCCTGTGTCCCTACCAAACTCCATGATCCTCGCGCCCGCGATTTGCCTTTGAGTTCTCGCGCGGGCCTCAGGAGTGTTATGAATGATTCATTGATAGAACGTCGGTGGTTTCTGTCCAAGAGTGGGGGGCACACGGCCGAGCTGACGGCCGCGTCATGTGTTGAAACAGTGCTTGATCGTGGAACGCTTTTCATTGTTTGCGTGGTGCATTGGACAGACTTCGGGGGCTATCGTGCAAGGTGAACAAGTGTGTGGTTTTGTTGATTTTCTTAGGCCAGAAGCGCGTTGTTGTGTTGATGTATGAGATCAGAGGAACAGCCCGAGTTCTGGATGGAGGATCAATGTTGGAGCAGTTGGGTCTTACAGTTGACTACCAGAAAAAGCAAATGAAATTGGCCAGCAGCGATAGCTCAGTTGGACCAAAAAGTGAGCACTTACGCATTCCGTGATGTAACTCAAGCAGAAGAGTACGAGCTGGAGGACTAGATGAACGATGAAGAGCAGGAACATGAACCAAGAGAAGCCCGTCAGAGCAAGAGTCTGATGATGAAGTCCCAGAGGGCGAGTGCAGTGTTATTGTATCAGCGTGTGAGAAACGAGGGCCCTATGAGAAGACCAGCATCACCGTTCACCACCGACAGAAATGCCAGAGTGTCCACCCGTGGCAAGTGAAGATCAGGAAACGAAACCGGAACGTTATGAGCCAATTCAAAGAGAGTCAGCCTTGAAGCGTGCGCGAAAAGCAGGTGGTATTCCAGTTCCTGACTGCGATGACCTTTACATTGATGATGCATTCAGTGTTGAAATGCAGTCAGGGACATTGCCACACGGGTGGGGACCGGATTGATAGACGGAGCATTTGATAGACCGAGATTGGCAGAGGTCAGCGAGAGACACATGACACTAGCAGAGAGAGAGAGAGAGATAGAGAAGAGATGACAAGGGCAAAGCCCAAGGAATGGATGCAATACTTTGACAGAGCTGGACAAATATCATGGAAGCCGAGTGATTTCAGCTCGATGGTCCTTGCGTGGAAACGAGCCACATAGGACGAACTTCACCTGAAGTGGACAATCTTTTGTGGAGACGTTTGGGCCGCCTTCCTTTCAGGTGCCGCGTTTGATCGTGAGATCATAGTGAAGCTTCTGGCAGACTGTAGAGCCATGCTTGGAAGCAGAGGTCCAACTTATACATGAAGACACGTAAACCAGCCTAAGGACTGTGCGAGGCGCCTTTGCATTGGTGGAGGGAAGCAGATCGCCGATTGAGGAAGCTGAATCGATCATTAAGCTGCTGAACCAGCTGCTGCAGCATATTGTGTTCACCAAATCGAGCCCTCGCAACTCATAAAGGCGCAGGTTTGCGCAGGGCCTGGTTTTGTGCAATGCAGTATATATGTTTTATTTCTATGTGCTATAGAAATTTGTCAAATTCCACTGAAGTGCACTCTGGCCAGTTTGTTATAGTTAGTTCGCAAACCTCAGTATTGAAAAAGTTAAACGTGCCACAAACCCGCAACGGGTTTTCTGCAGATTTCTTGTTGAAATTGTGCCTTCGCTGCGATGAAGCGACTTGTTTCGGAAGACACCAGAAGTACGACGTTGAAACAAATCATTTCTCAAAAACTACGCTGCCCAGGCTCCAAAGCGCACACTGTCATTAACATTTGGCACCGACACCTTGCAGCAGCACCAGCCCCCAACAGTGCAAACAACCAACATTTGGCAGCAGCGCCCCGGAGGTGCACCCTGCAGGGGCACCGCGCGCAAACTCCAAAGCACACACATTGGGCAGTGGCACCCTGCAGCGGCGCCAGCGCACGGGCGCCTCTTCCTATATCCGGAGTAAGAACCCCACACGTTCAGTTCTTGTCCTGGCGGGGCGCTTACCGGGTTACCGTCCCTCCCACGTTGGTTTACATTCCCACACCTCTCCTGCAAACATCATTGTGTCGGAACCAGCTTTTGGCATCCCTGCATCCAAAAAACTGGAGCCCTTATGTGCCCCACCGCCCACCAATGCAAGGGAATTGGATGAGTTTGGTGTTTCAGCATACATAAACTGAAGCCAGCACCTACTGCTACTCGCGAGACACCTCCAAACCACCAACTTGAACGAACATTTATGGAAACGCGAGTTTTTCCAAGTAGCTTTCGTGCTCTGGCTCCCGGATTGCTTGCACATGCTGATGTGAAGCTACTGTAGGTTTCACTTCTATTTGCAGGCACTCATGAGAAAGCGCCTCCAAGCCACCAAATTGAGCCGACCCCTGTGGAAATTCAGCTTTATGTCCAACTACTGTAGCTTTCGCACCCCTGACGCGTACTACGCATACTTAGATACCGACGATCACGCACTCAACTGCAACACTTGAATGACAAAAAAATCTGGAAGTCTATATATATATATACATGGCTTTTCTTCGAGCCAGGCAGTGGGATAGAGTAAAATATCGGGTGGAAAGTGCTTTGCATATCGGAGTCATTGGCCATCACCATCTAAGGCATTTGCGGCTTGGCCACTACCGGGCCAATGTGCCTGCAAGCTATAGCTACAGCAGCGCAGGCTTTTGTGCGCTTTAATGCAGTACAATTCAGGCTTTTGATAAGTCTGCGCAGTGATCGGGACTGGCAGCCGGAGCATGAAGTGAGTAAGCTGACTCCACCAACAACGGTGACGGCGAGAAAAAGTGCCAGCAAAATCAGGCAACATATTTTGTGGCCGGTTCAGAGCATCAAGTATGTATTTCAAGAAGCTTGCTTAAGCTTGCCAGCACGGAGGACACTGGGAAACCTGATGATTTCTTGGGATACGCCGAGCTTGATTTCAACAAGATATGCCCTTCAGGCCAGATGTTTACCCCTTCTGTCGCTTGAGGGACGTGGGTCAGTGCCATTTTTGGTGACGAAAAACATTCAGTTGTAATTCAGGCAAGTGTTGACAACTTGAGATCCACAAAGCCTCGGACTTTGATCGCCGATGATGATGCGTGCGCATCATTGGACGTTAGGACCGTTAGGCCGTTAGGATTCTCAATCTGACAGGGTGGTCATGTTGTTGCTTGATGTTCGGGAATGTGCGTACAAGACTCCAGGGAAGGAGCAGCGCCAGCGAACATTGACATCACTACATATGAGAATGAACAAACATGGCAACCTTCGTCATGAGTCATATATTGATGCCTTCTCCTTGTTGAATTGGAAGCATGCGGACACGAACCGGTAAGTGGATGAAATGGCAATGAGGCAAGAGAGATGGCAAACCGATGCATAACCAGAAAAGTATACTGTAGTGGGAAGCCAAACTTGCAGATATGCGTGAGATCAAGTATGCAGGGAAAGCGCACGTTCATGCGCGTGCTTTTGCCGTGACTGAACTACAGTCAGGAGCAAATGGATAATAACCAAGAAACGAACACATACTCACTACTGGCCTACGAAGTGCTTTTGTCACAGGTCCATATGTTGATTCTTTTCCTTTGTTTTTGCACACTTTTGCCCACACACCCAGAGCAGTTTCCCAACTATGTAAAAGTGAACATGTCCCGAGGCCCCCCAATGTTTTTCAAGGAGAATCAATGCATTTTCCATGTTTTTGGCAGCCATTTGGTTGTATTATTTCACATATTTTCATAATCATCGGTCGGTTCCGCAAAGACTGCAACATTATATATAATATTTATATAGGTGTCTTGAGATCAAGACTCTGAGTATGGGTTTGGTGTACGTATTGGAGCACCAATGGTGTAGACCATTCATTGTTCCAGTTGTCCTGCGGCATTGGTTGCGCAATCTTCAGAACAACTCCACCACCCAGTCCATATTCGCGAGATCGATGGTTTCAAGGGCTACAAGTTGTGCAGGCACAAGAGGTACTTCCTATATAATATATCAAATTAAATCCACCTGACATAAGAACCATGAAAGCTGATGAGTACCAGTACCAAGGTCCCCAAAAACTTATGGAAAGACTTTGTGACCGCATGTGGCTCCTACCTCATCAAACGAACATGAGAAGTGGCTATAAAACGGCCTCTTCGGTAGCCTCGTGACAAGCACATACACAATCCAGAGTGGCTGCCTCGGCAACATTCAACCATTGCCGAAGTGGCAGATTCGCAGTCGCGCACGTTTTTTGCAGGCTTTGAGGGCGAGCTTCCTTTAAAGGATGCCTCGGACACAGCAGCGAAACAGGAAGCGTACATCAAGGCGAGCGGAGAATCAGGTTGCATTTTTGTATTCATTCCCCAAACACTGTGTCCACACTAATTAGGGTTTTTACGGTAGCAGAAAAGGACGGCTGTCTGATCGGAGGTGCTCATCGGTGTGTCCGGCTAATTCGCTGATATTTACAGTACATCCATTCACCTCGAGATCTTCGAAGTGCATTTCGACTGCGCAGGCTCGCAGAATCTGGTGGGCTGGCGCGGGTGCACTTCGAGACTGTGCTCTCGTTGTGGCGCCGTGCGCATTTTGGGACTTGGTGATCACTTTTCATGGCAAGCGCAAGGGAAACCTCGTGTTTTGGTGGTTCAAGGTTGACTTTTCGTGACAGGTGCAGGATATTAGAGCGGCTTTATGTCGATGTGCAGATTTCGTGGCAGGCGCGGTGCTTTGGACATGGTGATGGTGGCGGTCTTTGGCATGCTCTGATTTCGTGCAGTGGGCCGCGGCTTTTGGACATGTGGCTCGTTTCAGAAATCGGAGGAAGCCTCGAGCGAAGGCAGGCGCAGTGCTGTGTGGACCTTGAAGTGCAGATTTCGTAGTCGGCGCGTGAACCTTGAAGTGCAGATTTCATGGCAGGCAGTGCCCAGTGGACCCTAAATGCAGACTTCGTGGCAGGCGCAGTGCTTTGTGCAGACCTTGAAGTGAAGATTTCGTGGCAGGTGCAGTACTTTGCTTTGTAGGTCTTCGTGGCAGGCGCAATGCTTTGTGACCTCTTCGTGGCCTTCATTACCACGACCGCCATCACCATCACCATCACCGTCACCATCCCCATCACCATGACCACCACCACCACCACCATCACCGCCACTTCCATTCCCACCCATCACCACCATCATCGCCGCCATCGCCACTGGGGGAGTTTCCTTGAAAAAGGGTGAGGTATCTTGCATCCAGCGGGTAGCAGCGGATCCTGCCCTTATTTAACTCAATAGGTGCCTACTTAATTAAGTAAAGGGCATGTCGTCGGCTAAAAAAAGGAGGTTGCATTTCTGCACATTTTTCGTCGGACAGCTTCCACCAGCTCTGCAAGGTGCGCGTAAGAAGCCTGGGTGCTGTTGCCCCAAAGTGATGGATTGCATGCACAGCCAAGGCATGCCAAGGCATGCCAAGGCATGCCAAGGCGTTTCAAGCAGAATGTGCACTTCCACAGTTGGGGAATGAAAGTGTTCTCATGGTACCTCATCACTTATAAACTGCGCCGGGCAGTCCAATGGTGTGCCAACAAGTCACCAGCAAGAGTTTCCCAACTGTGAGCAACATGCTTTTGCAATTAATCGCTCACTATGCCTCAGTGGCTTGCTCAAGTTGCCCATCGCAATCATGGATGGTAAACCTTCAATATATATGTAGATTAGATGTTCAATGATGTTCATGACATTTCGGCAAGACCTGTACACGGAAAAATTCTGTGGACTGACACCCTTTCCGCCAATACATGTAGCCTCCAGTGCACATTTTCCCTCGATACTATCTCTGCGACGGATGACGGATGGTCCATTCGTCGTCCCAACTGTATTGTTTCGCGCTGAACATTGACCAGTTTATCCTTGCTTTGTCTCAAATTTGGTGGCAAATCGCACCCTTGTCACATGGATGTTGCAAGTGTTTTGTGGAAGGGGTGCCCTTTGGACATTTCGGCTTTGTATGCAATACAATTCTGTGTGCAGTTTGCAACAATGACGCCAGTCATCTTTTTGGTTCGAAGTGTTGAGGGGATACCAGTTTGTTGATGGTCCCAAATTCCGTGGACCTTCAGAAACGAAACCAGTCGAGCAAACCCAGCTGGTAATCCGCCAGCAATGCTCGCAGTCTCACCACATCAGATAGGAACAGGCTCAGCAACTCAAGATGCTGAAAATGAATCCGGTCACATAATTTCTTTGCAAATGGCAGGAGGCCATCGCCATTTTGTTGGATGGTTCGGTTGCTTTGTGCTCGTTGCCAGCTGCATGCTTGCGAAGCAGCCTCTCAGATGTCCAGCTTGATGTCATCAACCTAACTATTGGCATTTACCAATCCTGTCAAACCGCAACCAAATCATATACGGTAATTAAGCTTTCACTCTTCAAAAAGGCAACTGAAGCAGGGTAAAGTCTTGGAGCAGGAAGGGTTTCAAGACGGCTGCATGTGGCCCTCCAATGTCGCACGCAGCCAACCGAAACAAGAGGACGTTGGCAAGCAGCGCTGCCAGGCTGGGACGCAGAAGGGCCTAGGCTCTTTTCGAAGCCTTGAAGATGCCACGCATGATTGATTCGTTTCTTAGGCTTCAAGGGAAATTCATATAACTTAACTTTCACGCCTGCTGTTAGGTGTCTGACACCTGCTTCGCTGACAGAAACTGTGCACATTAAGTTATTATATAACTGGTATCATTAACCACGAGTGTTGCCAAAGAAGGGTCAAGAGCCAAGAGGCGCCGCCATACACTTAACCCCTTGTAAGTCACTTGCCTCCCGAGCTGCTCCAGCGCCCTGATGGCACTTCCCGACTCCAGCGCAACTTCGAGCTCCTTGGAGCAGCCATCGGCGATCAAGAGTTTGTACGTGAACACACTGACCGACGGGTCCAAGCCATAGCCCCTTTACTGGAGGCCTTATCGTCCATTGGTGATGCTCAAGTCGGCTTGCGCTTTCCGCAGCTGTGCCAGCCATGGCCGCATCATGCACAGCATGCGCTGCACTCCCCCGACCACCACGCGCCAGTGCGGCGAGCACTCAAGTTTGCTGGCCTAGGACTGCGATCGGCCACTCTCGATGCTCCCGCGGCCTTTCTTTCTTCCATTGGTGGGTGCGCTATGGCTTGTGAGGAAGTGGATTCCGCCTACACTGCAGGAGCTGTCGCGCTGCAGCCCAGTGTTACCCGAGCACCTGCAACCCTCAACACCATGCTCGCAAACCCCTTGGCTCCCGGTGCTGCGCTGAGTATGAAACAGAAGGCGTTGACACGGCTAATGGATGACGCCTCTTGGGATCGCCACCTGAGCAGCTCCCCGCCCACTCGGCAGGCGCTGCTCCGATCAGAAGCCGAACCTGGCGCCCGTGCCTTCCTCGCTGCCCGGCCTGGGGGGGCCACTCCAATGGACAACGCTGTGTTTGTCACAGAACTTCGCCAGCGCTTGGGAGTGCCGGATGCGGCTGCAGACGCATGGTGCCCACAGTGCCAAGGCATCCTTGACACACATTCCCTTCATGCTGGCACCTGTGTCGCTGGCGGAGAAAAGACGTTGAGACACACGGCTGTCCGAGACGCGGTGTACCGATGGGCCGACCGCGCCGGCCTCCAACCAGAGAAGGAGCGCCCGCACCTGCTCCTGCCACAGAGACCTGAAGATGTCGGCGCCCAGCTTCGGCGGCCTGCGGACATTTTTCTGCCTAGCTTCAGCGGCATTCCTGCTGCAATTGACCTGGCCATCACGGCCCCTCAGCGACAGGATGTTGTTGGACAGGCTGCTGCCACTCCACTGGCTGCCGCCTCGCAGTATGCGGCTGTGAAGGCCGCGCACCTCAACACTGCAGCACTGTGCAACCAACAAGGAGTCCGATTCGTGCCCTTTGTTGCCGAATCCTCGGGGGCATGGGCCCCTGAAGCCAGTCAGATCCTGCTCCAAATTGCCCGCAGCGCGGCTGCCCGTGCTGGAGATGATGCTGCTGCTTTGCACAGCGAACTGCTCCAGGAGCTATCCGTCCTCCTCCGCACACATCGGGCTCGTGCCGTTCTGCGCCGGAGGGCAGAATTGGCAGACTGAAGGCTGCTTCCACGATCTTTATGATTGAGGTGATTCTCTGAGCCGGCTTGTTCCTGCTTTCTCCCTTTGGCTGGTTCCAAGCTCAATAGCTTGGTTGCTTTTGGCCCCCTTTCTTACTCCTTCGCCTCACGGGCTGGCATTTTCGGCCTGCCGTGCTGGCCATTTTTCCTTGGCGATTTTGCCTTTACCGCTAGCTGCACAGATTAACAGGCCCCTTTGCTAGCTCTTTTGCACGTGCACCTTTTGTTCTGCTCCAGAGAGTATTGTCTCACCTTGTTTTCCACGAACGCGGAGTGTACTTCTTTCAATGCTACTTGTGTCAACTTTTTGATGCAAATCAGATTCGAGAATGGCATAAGCGCGCGCTGAGAAGAGACTCAACGTGCACGGATGTGTATACAAACAAACATGCAATACAATACAATACAATACACGCATGCATGCGATCAAGGAGGCTGCCCTTGAAGCCCCCCTAGCGCGGCGTTCCCTTGTGCTACCTGTGCAGGGACAAGCTGAGGGCCCGGGGGTCTCGTGACCTACAGGCCTACAGGTCTATCCTTTGCCCGTGATAGAGGGAAACACCATGAGTGAGATCTTCATCACGTGTGCCAACTGGAAACCAGATGCCAACGATGTGACACGGTGTAGCCAGACGCCACAGGAAAAGGCTCGGTTTTGATGTGTGGCAAAACCGCTTCCGCGCTCTTCTTGAGCTGATAGCCGGTGGCTTCCGCCTTCAAAGGTGGCAGGGCTTGGCGGCGATCGCGCCATCGAAGAGGCTGACAGACAGACCAGCCGCTTTCGATGCGCAGAAACGAGGCGAAAGCTCTCACAAAACTCTTTCCAGACATCAAGATGATGTTCCACCAACCACCGCGGACTACCTCCAGTCACCTGAGATAACTCGGGAAGCTTCCCACAATGAAGGCCAAAGCCTAAAGCCAGGCCATCAAGCCGCCATCAGGCAACCAAGAACAGCATGCCACGACCACTCCATGACTGCCACAGCGGCCCAACCTCGAACGGCATTACATTAGGAGAAAAAGGCACGCGCGCATAGATACATGCACGCATGCATGCACACACACAGATACATTACATACACACATACATACATACATACATACATACAATGAAGTGAACTACTTTTGACCCCTTCCTGGAGGGCAACCTTTCGGCAGCGGCGCAGAGTCACAACAACTCCGGGCCAACACGGCCATGAAACCAACATCCTAAGGAAAAGACACCTTTATTCAAATACATCCATACATGCATACAAGCATGCGTGCATGGCTCAAGGCCACGAGTGCTCAAGGTGGCCGCCCCCAAGTCCACCAAGTGCACAAATCCCTTGCGCTTCAGTTGCCTGGACATCGACATCCAGCTTGGCCCAGGGAGATCTCGGATTGGCGTACACTCTTTGCCCGCAATCCACATTTCCTGATCCTAGCTTTTGTCGAGACCTTCGGTGGCCGGCAGTTCTCGCTCTGACCATCCACAAGGGCAACCTCCTGATCTTGCTCTTTTCTCTCCATCACCGTTGGGGAGATTAACGCCTACCACTTTGCCCGCAATCCCTTCATATCATAAAGAATTTTCCAGGCCAGAGCGCGGACGGTGCAGTGATCATGCAGTGGGGTAGAAGCTACATGATCTTCAAGAACACCACGGGCCACAATTGGATTTGGGAAGACAATCTACGACCAGGCACCAAATGCCGAAAGTGTGGGAGATGGTCATCCAGCCACACGAGCAAAGGCAAAGGATATGGCAGACCTGTCACCAAGCTCACCACAGGCAGCAACAACTGGCTCGAGACACCGCCAGGTCTCGCAAAGCTCAAGCCACTGAAACGAACCAAGGTCCAACAAGAGGCCACTGAGTTGAAGTCCACGACTTGGCCCACCATTCTAGAGGACATCCAGGGCAAGCTACAAGCCTTAGGGCTTGGGCCAACGAAACCCGATAAACCAGAGCTCAAATCAAAGACCTTTTGAAGACCCATATGGACGCCCTTCCACAGCAGGTGCAGGACATCGTATCCAAATTGACAACACCAGAGCCCATCACGGAACGTGAGATTGCGGCCAAGTTGATAGGGCAAGTGACAGAGCTCAAGAACATGTCCATCCGCAAAACACAGTTGCAGGGCAAGATCGACAACATCAAGGCACAATACGCCTCACTCCTCCAGGACATGCAGGAGCTCCAAACTTCAAACAAAACTAGCAGATTGGCAGAAGGCTCTCAACATTTATCAGAAGACTACATGAAGGCGGTCAATCAAACACCCACACCGGCTGATCTAGCTGAGCCAGTGGGAGAACCTGAATAGAGTCTTTTGCGCATAGCCTGGGCATCTCCCTCACCGAGGAGCAGAAAAGCAAGCTTCATGGCCTACTCAAGAGGCAAAATCAGGACCAAGGCGACCAAACTGAGACCACCACTCCTCAGGCGGCCGGGCAGTGTGGGTAACACGACTCAAAACACACCGGGGGCACTTCAAGGGATCACTGTGCCTGTACCCCTTGACGACTTCGACGAGGCGCCAACCAATAACTCGGTTTGCCGTGCTGCCTCAAGCTCAGCACAACAGGGAAGGTCATTAGTTTGGCGTGGTGCAGGGGAGCAGACACCACAAAACTACTCTGACCGTGACCCACTTTTTCAAGTACTTCATGGGGAGCCTTCTGGCAACGGTGAAGGGGAAACCACCATTTTGCCAAATGAAGACACACACACACACATGGCCGTCAACAGATGGAACAATTTTGAACGCACAACCTTTTAGCGCGGGACGCGCGTGATCCCACCTTGGGAGCACCTGGACCGGACGTGATTCCCATCAAGAGCGCTCTCTCACAGTGAGGAGGACCAAACTTCTCTGGCAGTGGCAAGGGTGCAAAACACCTATGCCTCCACCACAGAATGCATCCTGCAAAACCTCTCAATGACGGTGGGCAACCCGAGTGCCAGATGCTTTGCCAATGCTCCTTGGCGGGCATTCACATGGACCTGTGCTCTACTACAGGAGACACGCACGCAGCCCTGGGGCAACCTGCATGAGGCCGTGCAGGAATCCCTGGAACTGGCGGAAGCTGTAGATCTGCACCAACTCCCAGGACTACACGATCGCAGGCACACAGAATGGCAACAGACAGTGGACCAGGATTACGCACTGATCTACAAGCACGCTGTTCAAAGGCTGGAGCAGATCTATGCCGACAAACAGCATTACATACATACACAACAAAGCTCCCAGGCATCAAGGCAAGCAGACCAAGCAACGCAAAAAAGACTTGGTGCAGCAGTGCAAGAGGCCATGGACTCCAAACCAGCACAGATGGGAGCCGCATAGAAGTGGTTATCACTGCAGCGCATGCGGCGATCGCATGCATCAAGGACTGACCGCCCCAATCCTTGAAGAACGCGTGCAGGAAACCTGCCCTCAGCTACAGGTTAAAGCAAATCGCACAGAACCACCACAGCACCGGCTCTCCACCAGAGCACAAAACATCAAAGAGCTCCTACGAGCTCAGGCAGACACCGAGCCTGGGCAAGGAGCAACGCCCCTTTGAAGAAACAAAAGTGTACCTCAAGTGCACCAAGTGTGGAACAAACATCCACAAACGAACCAATGAGAATGCATTCCACGACTACATCAACAGTCCATGCCTAGATCAAGCATACCAGGAAAAGCATGATGGCCATCCCAGCCACAATTTCTGGCAAGAAGGGGAACGTGTCAGCTGCACCCTCTGTGGCCTCCAGCGGCACCTAGACAGCCAAAAAAGGATCATAAGCGCCACAGGCTTCCAGAAAGAGTGCAAAGGAGCGGGACTCAAAGGTTCCCCACCACTCCAGCACTTCTTCAAACAGCCAAGCCAGCAGAGCACGCCAGCCCCCCAGATCATTTTCAGATGCTCACCAGCAAGCACCTCCTAAAGAAGAGAGACACACTGGCCCAACACCGCGAAGGCTGCACTTCCGCACAGCTCGACATGCGTGAGCTTGAAGAAGACCCAACCCATCCTGCCAAGGCCATGAAACCCAGCCTCACGGCAGACCACAGACAGAGGTTACACACACCACAGCTCAGCCGTCGCAGGCCACAGAAGCGCCGCCAACAACCTCTGCAGATGGACAGGAGACCGCTGAAGAAGAAACCGCAGAACAAGATGAGGTGCTGACGGTGGACTAGTTCTAGCCCGACACCAAGCGCGGAATGGCAGCGTAGACATGCCAAAGGCATTGAGACTCCAGCGGAGAGAAAAGCCCTCTAGGAAAAATACACGCATGCGTGCGCGCAAGAATACACTCATATGTATGACATGCATGCGTACATACATACATACATACATACGTGCGTGCGTGCGTGCGTGCGTGGATGCATACATACACGCATGAGTGCACACAAGAATGCACTCGTATGTATGACATACATACATACATGCATGCATGCATACATACAGACAGACAGACACACAGACACAGACAGACAGACAGACAGACAGAGACAGACAGAGACAGACAGAGACAGACA